TGGTGGATGTGGGCTCGAATTTCTAAGGCAGAACAGATGTCCAATAATATTTACATTTCCCGATTTAAAGCTGAAAAATGGAATTAAGACTCAAGAATTTTCACAAACTTCCTGGTGACAGGTGTGGAAATGATGGGGATGGGAAGTTGGGAACCAAGAGGCCAAAAACAGAGAACCCTTATCCACCCGTGCGGCGCTGTGGAGGTTCGGAAAGGGACTTTGCTCCGCGTCGGGACCCCAGAAGCCACTCTGTCACCCTTGGAGCGGGCAGAGGGGGCGGAGGGGAGGTCTGGGGAACGCTGCGTACCGGGTGCTGGCCCAGCCCTCCTGCTGCCCGGGCTTTCCAGCTCCAACCCGCGCCAGCTGTCGCGCTTCCTCCTTCCCGCCCCGGCAGCGCGAGCCCAGCCCGCGGGACGCCCCCTCCGCAGCTCCTGGGTCGGGCGCGGGGCGCGGGGTCTCTACCTGGCCAGGGAGGCGCGCGTTCGGAGCCCGGCGCCGGCGCTGAAGCGGAGCCCGAGCGGGCGGCAGGGACGGAGAGCAGACGCTGCCGCGCGGGGCCGCCCCGCGCCTGACGACACAGCCGCCCGCCCCCCACCCAGCTGAGCCGCCGCTCCCGCGCCCCCAACTCCCAAACTCCGGGGCTGGGCAGGACCTCGTTTCCGGGCTCCCAGTTCAACAGGACCTGCTCCCCCTTCCATCCTCAGTGTCTTCTGGGACCTGGGCTGTGCCACTTTCCCCAGGAGCTATCCCCCGCGGCAGCTCTACCTCTAGCCACAGTACTTTCCCCTCTGCCCTCATCCCGCACCTGGAAGGCCGAGGTTAGAGGCCGGCTCTGGATAAGAACTGGCAGCTGCGCATCCAACCACCTATCCCCCACCCCACCCCCCCAACTGCTGCCATCCTGGACTTCCCTGCCCAACCTCTTTCTATCACTAGGACTGCACACTCCCGAGATCCCAGCTCGGGCAATGCCAGAGGGCCACACTTCACATCCTGCACCCACACCTAACTGCTTGAGACAATCTGCCCGTTTTCTCCGCCAGGTTCCTCACCTCCCTTTCCGACCTATGCCTCCAGTCTAAGGCTACCTCCTTCTCTCAAGATGCATATCGTCGCCTTAATTCTAGGGTGGTGGTTTGGGTGCAAAGAACACTCTGTCCCGGGAGTGCCCTTCCTCCATGACCTAACCCTCCCGCTTTACCCGCTGACCTTGCAGGTGGTGCAGAAGGCCCTAGCGCGAAGTAGGGCAGATAGGAGATGTTTTCAGCTTCTCCTGCCTGGATGGAGGTGGTTCAGGAGCTGTCAAGGCACTTGGGGCAGCATGAATGGTGCTGAAGCTGGTAGAGTAAGAAGGAGAGACAGAGGCCTAGGGACTTGCTGGTAGGAATGGAGACCCAGGCATCCTGGTCCCTGGCTCCGCCCCAACCCCTGTGAGCTCCCTCCTACCCTTCCCTGAAGTAGAGCAGAGTAACAATGCCTTGGGTTCCTGGAAGGGCCCTTTTTACACCTGGGGTGTGTAGGTGTGGGGGGATTTCAGGCTGCAAGCCTGTATGTGTGTGTATGTGTGGTGTGTTTGTATGTGTACACACACACACACACACACACACACACACACTATATACATATTTTTGAAGGGGGTCAGAGAGAAAAAGAAATGAATACATAAGGCCCTCTAGTGGAAACAGAGGGACCTAGGAAGGTCTAGATGGTTTCCAGATGGGCTTTTTGAAGGAACCGCTCCAATTTTACCAGAAATATGGATGCTGTAGTAACAGGGTTTGAAAGTACTATTATTGTAACTGGAAATTTGGTGCAGGGGTTGAAGGAGGGTCTGTCTCTCTGCTCTTGTGTCTCCACAAGTCTCATCCTCTTTTTTTTTTCTTTTTGGTGCTGGGGATTGAACTCGGGAACTTGCACTTGCGAGGCAGGTGGTGGAACCACTGAGCTAAATCCCCAGCCCCCTCCTCACTCTTAATAAAAGACAAGGACTCTGCCACTCCTCATCCCCCCCCCCCCCAATGCTGGAGATTGAACACAGAGCCTGCAACATGTTAAGAATGTGTTCACTCCCACTCCCATTCTTCACCCTTTTCTTTTCTCTCTCTCCTTTTTTTGTACGGGATTTTTATTGTGTAACCCAGGTTGGCCTAGAACTCTGATCCTCCTGCCTCAGCCACTTGAGTACCTGGGATTACAGGTGTGACCCATCACACCTGGTCAAGCTTGATTCTTAGCAGCCTTTCCTTTCTTTTTCTTTCTTTTTTTTGGTACTGGGAATTGAACTCAAGACTGTGAGCCCGCGAGGCAGGCGGAGGAACCACTGAGCTAAATCCCCAGCCCAACAGCCTTTTCTTTATCATTAGCAAAACTTGATTTTCCTATATGACTTCCTTAGTCACAGTCAACAAACACTTTTGAAAGCTGATTATACACCAGATCCTGTACTTAGTTCTGTAGTCAGGCAAAAACAGCCCTGTTTAAGGACTCCCCCAGAGTGGCTTGATGTGTGTGAAGCTTCTCTGCCCTGAGCCACCCTAAGTAAACATATAAGAGTAGGTCCATAACTCCTCTTCTAACAGTCTCTACATAAATTTAAAGACATTCTTTCAAAGATTTTTTGTTTGTTTGTGTGTTTATTTTTGATACAAGGTCTAGCTATATAGTTCAGGTTGACCTTGAACTCACTATGCAGCCCAGGCTGGCCTCGAATTCCCAGTGATTCTCTTGTCTCAGCCTCACAAGTACTGTGATTACAGGTGTGTGCCACTACACCCAGTCTTTAAAGTTTTTTTGAACTTCAAAGTGGGGTGTGTAGTTATTTCTCTAATAAGGAATAAGATGGAATCAGTCTTATTCTAGCCTTCATGTCTTCATTAGGATCTGTGCTCCTTTATACCCTAAGTCAGTTATTGGTGGAGGTGGGGAAAGAAAGGCCAAGAAACATCTGAGGAGGTGCCTAATGCCTACAGTTCCAGGTGCTCATTTCTTTAATCAACCACATCATAAAAGTCAGAAAGAAAGAAACCACAATGAACAAAGGGAAAGGAAAAAACAACAGCCTGTTCTCCCCTGCCTCCTCTTTCCTCTCTTCCTCCTTTGGGTAGGGGGGCCACATCCGGGGCCCAGGGCTGGGTCCTAGGCTGGTCTACCAAACAGACAATAGTTTCACTTCCTGTCAAGCTCAGAGCTGGGCAGGATATCTGGGGGTACAGTGGGGCTAGGGTAGTAGAGGGTTGGGTAGTAAACACGGGGCACTAGGATTCCCCCTTGCAGAGCAGGTTCATTGGAAGCTTCAGAGTGCTTCAGAAATGAGCTCCCAGACTCAATTTGTTGGTACAGATAATGAAGCACTCAGACACCATGAAATCTTGACAAGCTTTTTACTTTTGCAAAAGGGCACAGATTTGAGGTAGCAGGTGTGCAGGACAAAGGAGGGTTGCCACTTTCATCCCTAAGCAGGAGCAGCTGACTTCTTTTTCATTGGCTGGTTTGGAGGTTCATAATCTAAACTCATTGGCTAACTCAGAGGGGCATCTGAGGGCTTGTTGAGGGGGAGGGAGAGCAGAATGGAGGGGTATGTAGAGAATAGAAAAGCTTTGGCCTATAAGCTATCTTTGGTTTGTAGCTGTGTTCCCAGGATTGGAACTGAGTGGGCATGTTCTGTAACTTGGTGTGTTCAGGAAGGGCTATATAGAATGGACTAGAATCTAAGATGGAGTCACTTCTGTTTGATAGATAAGACAGAATTTACTGTTTCCCACAAGAGAACTCTCTTCTAGGAGTTCAGTCAAAAGAAATGAGTCCCACTAGTTTTTGGGGGCCTTTATCCCACTGGCTCATGGCCTGTTATTAAGGCCAAGGACAGGATGCTAGATGGTGAAAGGCTGAAGCAAAATTGGTGAAATAACGGGTTTAAGGTAGACAGTGTCTGAAAACTTGTACTTTACTGTATGCAAATTGTTTGCTTTTGAGTGGTGAATCTAAGGGGTGTCTCGCAGTGTTGACCAGGGTGACCTCAAACTCCTAGACTCATGCAATCCTCCTGCCTCAGCCTCCAGAGTACTGAGGCTACAGGCAAGCCACTCTGCCCATTGTATTCACATAGTTGTTAAATGAGTCTTTTTGAGATCTGAGCTGGGCTCCAGGTTGAAGTCAAGGAAATTGGAGAATGCAAAGAAAGGCAAAGGTGTGGCCCCAAGAAAATTTGAGTCTTAGATTGTTTAAGGTTAGGGGTACTCATTGCTTTTTTTTTTCTTTGGTGCCGGGGATCGACCGAATTCCGGTCCTTGCACTTGCGAGGCAGGCGGTGGAAGCACTGAGCTAAATCCTCGGCCCAGGGGAAACAAGTTTAACAGGACTTAGCCCCGAAGGAACCACAGTTGCTAAAGCAGAGGTGGAGGGAGAGCTTTCGGGTTCATCTGAAAAATGATGAGGCATGGTCATGGTAATACTACAAAGGGAGTGGCCACACAGGACTGGATCATGGGCGAGCCGCCCCACTTTCGATCCCCTGCGCCCGGGGACGTGCACGAAGATAATTAGAATACTGACTAGGCCCGCCCAGAGGCCTTCCCCCTGCCCTCTGACCCGCCTCCCCCCCCCCGCCCCGGAGTCTTCCCCCGGAGGCGGCCCAGCCTGGCCAGGGCTGCCCGCCCAACCCTGCCCGCCCAACCCGGCCCTCCCAGCTCAGCCGTGGAAGCCGCCCTCAATCTGGAGGCTGCGGGGACAGGTGACCGACAGGCAGCGCCCTCCGGCTTGCATGCCCCTTTTGTGGGTCTCTGTCCAGAGTTAAGCTGGGTAGCGAGGGCAATCGGCACACGAATTTGACCTCTCCATCTTCTTAGGGTTAGTGGGGGTCTTCCCATCGACCTCAGCAACATTCGCGCGCCCCACGTCACCAAACCGATCTGGGGCATGGGTGAAGACCAGGGCCTGGATAGTCGTCCTTTCCTCGTTTATCATCCTCCAGTTTGGGGTACGGGCGGGCCTTGTACCCTTTTCCCCTCGCAGGTCCTGGACGTAGGAGTGCCTGGCTAGGATGAGAGGGACTGTGTTGGAACTTCTCTCGGCGCCCAGAAGACTTTTACGTGCAGCCGGCCCTCAGTAATGGTATAGGTGGCAGTAAAAGAGCCCGAGCCTTTATTTTACGAACGACTTCAGCTTCTAGGTCTCTTCTTTCTACTCTACCCATAAAATGGTGCACTTTCCCTTTAAGACTAAAATGGTGGCTCGTTAGGATCAGGACTCCACTTCCGGTGGGGAGGGGGGCGGGACCCCAGCCCGCTCAAGCCGGAAGTGGTTTGAGTTTTCAAGATGGCGACTCCCTATGTAACAGATGAGACCGGCGGTGAGTGCGGGAGGCGCGGAGCCGCTTCTCTCCGGGCTCTCGGGTTAGGGGTTCGAACTTGGAAAGGGGTCTGTGCCCCGCCCATCCCGGGGCCCCTCCTTTGCTCCGCCCCCTGGACCGCCTTTCCCATTCATTCTCCCCTACAGGGTGTCGCCTGCGCCCCCTTCTGGTCTCGAGTTGGGGGGGGTCTCTGCTTCCGGTCACCCAAACCCTGCTATCTTTCAATGCTCCCTGTCCAGGAGCCTCATATGCCCTCAGCTTTTGTCTAGCAGTTGGAGCTCCCACATCTCTTTTCGGGTCTCCAGCTTTATGAGCTCCTTCACTCAGTTCCCTCCAATTCCTGCCCTCCACTTTCCCCTCACCCATATATCTTAGCTATACCTGCTTTCTGCTCTACCCCAGCCCTGTTTTCATTCTTTTTCTCAAAAGCTGTATCTGTTGAAGACCTCCTCATTGCCATGTAGTGTTTTTCCTACACTCTCCCTTATCTTTATTTGTGGGTCGCTGAGGTGCAGCGGTGTAAAGTTAGTATAACTTTGAGCTTAAATTTTCTCCTTGATGGAACCACTCTTCTCTACTTTCTCCGATGATGGTGATAGGAACTGAGGGGTTTAAGTTGAGAGGAGGCAAACAGGAAGGTGTCTAGTGACATTTTTCCTAAGGTCTTTGACAAGTCAATAGAATCCACTGTTCCTTTGGTTTGAGAAGCACTTCAGCCTACCTGTCTGAGATTCTGAAGTACCTGCTGTGTGTGTGAGAAGCAGAATCAAGGCTTTTTTCATGGTTTTGTCCCATCTTAATTGTCTTGTCATTAGAAGAATGTGCATCGTAGTAATATTGACTCGGTGATGATGAGATAATATATGGGAAAATTTGTAAAATGCTGTGTAAGTGCAAGGTGATTCTGTTTTTGTAATCCTCACTGTACTGTATATGTGTAGTTTTCTGTAGAAGTGACACTTAGCATGTACAGTGGTATGCATGGTCTGTTTTAAAATGTGTCATTTATGCTTTTTGTTGCTTTACATGTTGCTTATACCTCAGCCCACCTATTTTATGGTACCTAATGACAACCCAGGTTTCTGCTACTTCTTCCTAACTTCTCGTTTCAAAGTGCTACTCCATCTTTCCTTATTTTGTCTACTCAATAGGTCTTTCTTTAACAACTTTTCAGTGTGTGTTTAGAAAATATTCCTTACTGTCTTTATTGTTATCCTTAGCCCTGACTTAAAAAATGAGACAGGGGCCAGGGATTTAGCTCAGTGGTTCTGCCGCCTGCCTCATAAGCACAAGGTCCCAAGTTTGATCCCCAGTACCAAAAAACCCCCAACAAAACCCAAAAACTAGATAGCACATCTACCCTGCTACCAAAAGGTATTTTCTGTTCTCTGTTACTATGTGGAAGAACAGAAGGAATAAAGTGCGTTTTTTGCTTTCCTTGATTGTTTTTGAATCATTGATCTACCACTGTCACACTAATCCCTGTGGAAGATATTGCCATGCAGTTATAGTAGTTTCTCTAAAATTTCAGTGCCATTTTCTACTGCTCAAAAGGACCCAGACCTATTGAATCAATTTTTTTCCTCCATCCTTTTCTTGCTATCATTCTCAGTGTCTCCAGCATCTTTGGGATCCTCCCTCAGCATGAGACCATTGACTTAACCTTTGTATTTTCAAACCAGGTACACATCTGAATCATTTACAGCCTCATCAGTGACTTCATCTGTGACACTTTTTCTTCAGGTACTCTTCATCACTTACTTTTTTTTTTTGTACCGGGGATCAAACTTGGGTCCTTGCACTTGCAAAGCAGGCGGCAGAACCACTGAGCTAAGTCCCCAGCCCTCATCACTTACTTTAGTCTCTTTACCAGTCACCTTTTTGACTGCCTCAGACCTACAGAAGCACCCCCCTTCCCCCATACTGGAGATTAAACCCAGGGCCTTTGCACTGAGCTACAATCTCCAGGTGCTCCTCCCCCTTATGAATTTTGAGATAAGGTCTAAGTTCCTAGGCTGGGCTTGAATTTACAATCCTGTCTCAGCCTCCCAGAGTGAGATTCATACATGTGCCACCATGCCTAGCTCAGAAGCAACTTTTTGCCTTTAAGTTCTCTGGTTCTTTTGTGTGTGTGCGTGTGTGTGTGTGTGTGTGTGTGTGTGTGTGTGTGTAACCTAGGGCTTTCAGCATGCTATGCCAGCTATGTCCCCAGCCCTAGTTCTTTGCTTTTTCCCATTTCACTGAGTCTTAACAATACCTTCAATACCTTATTATGATTACATTTGGTGTTGCCTAGGTAGATCTCCTATTACCAGCCACTTTGATACTGTCTTCTTTGTTTTTTTCATTCTTTTTTTTTTAGTACTGGGGATTGAACCCAAGGATTTTCTTCTGATTTTGATCTTCTGTACTAAACAAGCACTTCTAAATCTTGAATCATATCCAGCAATTCTTTTCTTCATTTCTGCTTCTAGATTGATTACAGCATATTGCTGGAGAAAAAGCACAGATTGAGTATAATGTAACTTCTGTCAAGACCATAGCTTCTCTCAAATTACTTATTCCTGGTGTCCTTATGTTCTCCATGGCTATTTCTTCAACCTTTTCTAGCTTGACCCTCTCTTTTAATTCCCCTCTTGTGACTCATGACCTCACTTTCTAATTCACTGAGAAACCAATGCCTGTCATTTCTGTTTCTTTGCTATTCACAGGCAGATTTTTTGAACATCAGGTCTGCATCTGCTGTTTTCATTTCTTCACTGCTTAACTTGTACCTTAACTCTTTGCAGTCATTATTTTTTTGTTTTGGTTTTGGTTTCTTTTGAGATAGAGTCTCTGTATGTAGACCAGGTTGGCCTCTAACTATGTAGGCCAGGGTGATCTCAAATTCAAAGTCCTCCTGCCTCAGCCTTCTCAGTGCTGGGATTACAGGTGTGCACTACTACACCTCGATGTACTATAGTTATTATTCCTAGCACCACCCTGTCACTTGAGTTGCCTATGTTCAAACTGAGATTCAGTTGAAAATAACCCATTTGCTGGGTTGTTATATGTCTTGAGTCTTTAATATACAACAGTTTCTCTTTTGCATTTTTTTCCCCCACATGAAATTGACTTGCTGAAGAGACAGGGCCATTTGTCTGTTTTATTTATTTTTTATTAGTACACATTTGTAGTAGATAGTGATTGCATTCTTCATTGGGAGTGGTGCATATACATAACACATCTTCATTCTTTTTTTATCACCTTCCCTTCCCCTCCCTCCTTCCTCCATCTCTTGGTCCCCTTTCTTTTTGTAAAAGATCTATCTTTCTATTTTCTAATATTATCTATCTTTTATTTTGCTCTTTATATTTTGGGCTTCTCATATAAGAGACACAATGTGATACTTAAGCTTGTATGACTGATTTGTATCACTTAACATAATGGCCTCAGAATGCATCCATTTTCCTACCAATGACTCAGGTTGATCCTTTTAGCAGAGTAGTACTCTATTGTGTGTAAATGTCACACTTTCTTTATCCATTCATCTGTCAGTGAACATATAGGCTGATTCCAAGATTTAGCTATTGTGCGTTGTGCTGCTATATAAACAGGCATGCATGTATTACTGTAATATGATGTCTTTAACTCTTTTTCGGAAGATACCTAGAAGGGGAATAGCTGGGTCTAATCGTTATTTTTATTATTTTTAAATTTTTATATATTTATTTATTTTTTGGTAGGGGGATTAAACTCGGGATCTTGCACTTGTGAGACAGGCGGCGGAACCACTGAGCTAAATCCCTGGCCCTATTCTTTATTTTTAAAACATGACTGAATTGGATATTATATACATTTTTTACCTTTTCACTTAACTTTTTTTTTCCTTTTCATTAAACTTTATAAATGTATTTTTCTTTGCCTTTAAAAACAATGCTGATAGGGCCAGGGATTTAGCTCAGTGGTTTTGCCGCCTGCTGCATAAGCGCAAGGACCCAAGTTCGATCCCTGGTACCCCGCCCCCGCAAAAAAACCAAGAAACTATGCTGACAGGCCAGGGATGTAACTCAGTGGTGCAGCGCCTGCCTGACAAGCATTAGGCCTTGAGTTCGTTTCCTGGTACCAAAAAACGCCCCCAAAAGCTATACTGGCGGGGTTTTTTTTGGGGGGTAGTACTAGGGATTGAACCCAGAGCCTTTGCACTGAGCTCCAACCCTAGCCCTTTATATCTTTTGAGATAGGGTCTCCTAAATTGTCCAGGCTTTGAACCTGTGATCCTCCTGCCTCAGCCTCCCAGGTGCTGGAATTTCAGGTGTGCGCCACCATGCCCAATGGATGTTTATGTATTTTTTGTTCACTATAAAATTAATTCATATTGACCAGGCGTGGTGGCACACACCTATAATCCCACCACTACAGAGGCTGAGGCAGGAGTGTTGCTGTGAGGCCAGCCTGGGGTACATAGTGAGTTCAAGGCCAGTCTGAACTACATACTGAGATCCTGTCTCCAAAAAATAAACATTCATATTGATGTTAGAAAGTTTGGGAAATATTTTCATAATTAGAATAAAATCTAGATCTAGACTCAAGATTGCTAATTTCATAACTAAGCTGTTTACAATTAACATTTCCTTTTAGTTTTTCTTTCTATGCACACATGTAGCATTTGTAAAAGAATATAATAGGAATAATATTGAATGGCTGTATGTTCCAAAATATGATCCTCAGAATACTTAGGAGCTCTCTGAAATGTGCCACAAAATGAAAAATTAAAATACAAATAAGTTTTCTGTGGTCAAAGAAATATGGGAGACACTGTAAACTTATTCCTATCTTGCATATTCATGTGAATAAGAACTCACTATATTAACTCATTGAAGTCTTGCTGTTAAAAACAAAATCTTGGGGCAGGGATTTAGCTCAGTGGTTCCAGCTCCTGCCT